TATATATATATATATATATATATATATATATATATTTATATATATATATATATATATATTCATATATATATATATATATATATATATATATATATATATATATATATATATTAGAGTAGCAGTCTTTCTTGTAAACATATGTTGTTGAAAATGACCGAAAGGGTAAGATTAATGATTCGAACACGAATCTTCTCAATATTTTCTTACGTTTTTCTTCACTGTCTTCATTGAAAAATTTGCTCTCCAAAGTTCATTTTCACGTGTTTATTTATGGTCTGACACCTAGAAGCTTTTTGCAAGAGACTTCACAAAGTCTCGAAGACAAATTTCATTGTACTCCGTTTCATGCTTATATTTGTTTTTGGGTGAGGTGATATGACATAAATGTTTTTGGGTGAGGTGATAGAACACAAACCAATGGGTAATCATTGGGTAAATATAATTTTACATAGTCAGAACGCAAATTATTGCATATTTTCTCTTCTTGCTTCTGTGGATTTGGAGATCCTATTGGACGACATATTCGACCTCGAGACGTAAAAGAAGGTTACCACTAAAAACACCTTGCAAGCGAAACTTATTGCAGATAGAGGAAAGATTCGAGGTGACTACAGAAGTACCATACTGTCCCGTTAGCTCAAAGCGGCAGCTAAGAGCCTTCGTGAGAATAAGGAGACAGTCGTTAGGAGAGGTGACAAGTCGCCAATATACATTATTCTTGAAAAGACGAATATCTGGCAAAAATGAACCTCATACTCTCCGACCAAACTAAATTCCAAAGGGTAATGAAAGACACTACAGCCGAATTGAAAACGAAGGTAAACAGATTGATCGAAACTGTGAACGCCAAGAAATCCGGACTCCACCTGTCAAAAGTTATCTGGGAATACAAACCTAGTTAGGCATATGGGAATGTCAAGACTCACAAGCCTGGAAACTCACTTCAGACACTCATCACCCAGATACCCACACCCACATTCAGACTGGCTAAGTGACTCAACTGCCTACTGACTCCTTATGTGCCTTGAGCATTGAGCCTGAAGTCTCCAAAGGAATTCGTTGACTTACTGCGGGAAGCACGGGACACAGGGATAAGAGCCTCTATGGACGTGGAGTCACTGTTTACCAACGTACCTGTGGACGAAACAATCAGGATGATGATGGACAGAGTGTATCGTGATCCGGCTTGTACTCCTCTTGACATACCAGAGAGCATACTGAGAAAGTTACTCCTAGCCTGCACTAAAGAGGCACCCTTCTTGAGACCCGATTAGCACATGTATAAGCAACGAGATGGGGTCGCAATGGGTTCTCCCCCGGGTGTCCTATTTGCAAACTTTTACATGGGTACCATAGAGCAGAGGGTCTAAGTTGACATGGACTTGTAACCCGCCATATACTGCAGGTATGTTGACGACATTTTTATGCAGGTACTTGATGTCAGACGTTTGCAGCAGCTGAAGGAGGCATTCGAGCAAAATTCGGTGTCAGGTTTCACTTACGAGATGGAGAGTGATGGGAAGCTGTTCTTTCTAGATATAACGGTCACGGAAAGGAATGGTGGAAGCCACACTGCAGTCCACACTAAGGAAACAAACATAGGAATGTGCCTTAATGCCAATAGTGACTGCCCAGACAGGTACAGGAGGAGTGTTGTCAATGGTTACGTCGACTGGGTTCTCACTCACAGCTCTGGTTGGCAGCAGGTCGATGAAAAACTCTGTAGGGTAAGGCAGGTCCTAATCAACAATGGCTTCTCTAACGGCTATGTTGAAGACGTCATAAAAAGAAAGGTGAATTGCCATGCAACCTCTGAAGAGTCAACTAACACAACATTTGTACCCCCTATTAGACTCTTTTACATGAACTTCTTTTTGATGGCTCATAAAACGGAGGAAAGTGTCATGAAAGATATTATTAGTCGGAACGTTATCCCAACAGACAAAAATTAGAAGATACAATTGACAATTTACTACAAAAACAAGAAAATGGCCAACCTACTCATAAAAACTCTCCAGACACCAAACAGAACGCCTTGAAAGAAACCAACGTCGTCTATGCCTCACATGCCCACTTGGGGACTGTCAGACCCAAAGATCTCAGTATATAGGCAAGACAACAACTTCCCTTTCTTGACGATTAACAATTGCACAATAACAGGGCTCCATCAAATAACATATAATTTCCTCTCACAACCAGACCATCACCAGAGAAATCTTAACAAGCAACACAGAAATCATTGATAGATACAGCGATAGCAGGAAACTCGGCATCAGTGAGGCACTACACATCAAAAAGTCCACACCAGCAATCAACAGCCAATTTAACATATAACTATATTCTACCCACTTTAAGACCCCAAACCAACATAAAAGCAGCAAGAGCAATAAAGAAGCAGCAGATATGCAATATACCCATTGTTTCATGTTTTGTCTTTTGTTACTTCACCCAAAAACAATTGTCATATCACCTCACCCAAAAGCGAATATAAGCATGAAATGATGTGTGTAAAAACCTGTCTTTGAAAACGTGAGAAGTCCTTCCGAAATGCTTTTAGGAGTCAGACCATAAATAAATAGGAGAAAATTAACTTTGGAGAGTTAATTTTTCAAATACCCCCACAGTGAAGAAAAATGTAAGAAATGTTGAGAAGATTCGTGTAAGAATCATTAATCTTACCCTTTCGATCATATTCAGCAACATATGTTTACAAGGAAGACTGCTACCAAAATATACTAATATTAAAACGCACGACCCAGCAGCAAGAAACCAAGCTTCCGCGATAAAATATCGCTAAGGTCTGATTCAAAATCAGATACACAATGCAGAAAATGAGATCAACGATAGTAAAGGGCAACTACTTCATGCTACAGACCAATGGAGACACACCAACATCGACGAAGATCTCCGTAATCGAATCGACCAACACATCGATATCCTTACAGATCGACATCGCCACAGCACCGAAACCCGGATCATCAAGAAACTGACAACATTATTAGGAGGACCTATGGCGATTCCTCGACCCAGAGATGGCTTCTTAAACCTTGCTGGAATCAACCTCACTGAGGACGAAATCACTCATTTGAATCTGGGTATAAACTGTCACGTTATGTCCAGACCAAGTGAAATGGCCCAGAAAGTGGGGTTGGAGATCCTATTGGACGACATACTCGACCTCGAGACGCAAAAGAAGGTTACCACTAAAGACACCTTACAAGCGGAATTTATTGCAGAAAGAGGAAAGATTCGAATTATTAGGTACAGAAGCACCATACTGTCCCGCGAGCTCAAAGCGGCAGCTAAGAGCCTTCGTGAGAATAAGGAGATAGTCGTTAGGAGAGGTGACAAGTCGCAAATATACGTTTTTCTTAAAAAAGACGAATATCAGGCAAAAATTAAGCTCATACTCTCCGACCAAACTAAATTCCAAAGGGTAATGAAAGACACTACAGCCGAATTGAAAACGAAGGTAAACAGATTGATCGAAACTGTGAACGCCAAGAAATCCGGATTCCACCTGCCAAAGGTTGGCGGGAATATCTGGTTATGCATATGGGAATGTCAAGACCCACAAGCCTGGAAACCCACTTCATAAAATCATTAGCCAGATACCCACACCCACATACATACTGGCTAAGCGACTCAACTGCTTGCTGACTTATGTGCCTTGAACATTGAGCCTGAAGTCTCCAAAGGAATTCGTTGACTTACTGCAGGGAGTACGGGCCACCGGGATAAGAGCCTCTTTGGATGTGGAGTAAGGCTAAGTGACTCAACTGCCTGCTGACTCCTTACGTGCCTTGTGCCTTTAGCCTGAAGTCTCCAAAGGAATTCGCTTACTTACTGCGCGGAACACGGGCCACAGGGATAAGAGCCTCTTTGGATATGGAGTCGCTGTTTACCAACGTGCCTGTGGACGAAACAATCAGGATGATGATGGACAGAGTGTACCGTGATCCGGCTTGTACTCCTCTTGACATACCAGAGAGCATACTGAGAAAGTTACTCCAAGCCTGCACTAAAGAGGCACCCTTCTTGAGTCCCGATGGGCACATGTCAACATATACAGCACATGCAAGTAGATGGGGTCGCAATGGGTTCTCCCCTAGGTGTCCTATTTGCGAACTTCTACATGGGTACCTTATAGCAGAGGGTCTTAGGTTGACATGGACTTGAAACCCACCATATACTGCAGGAATGTTGACGACATTTTTATGCAGGTACCTGACGTCAGATGTCTGCAGCAGCTGAATGACGCATTCGAGCAAAATTCGGTGTTAAGTTTCACTTACGAGATGGAGAGTGATGGGAAGCAATTTTCAGAGGAATTGACCGGGTAGATAAAGATAATCTGTTTAACACGGGTGGTACACGAAGAAAGGGACACAGGTGGAAACTGAGTACCCAAATGAGATGAGCTTCAGGGACGTTAGAAAGAATTTTTTCAGTGTCAGGTGTTAACAGATGGAATGCATTACACCAGTTAATTGACAGTTAAGAGGCGGGTCCAAAGAGCCAGAGCTCAAACCCCGCAAGCACAACTAGGTGAGTTCTGTGGTACCTACCTATAGTACCACTATACACAGTACTACTGAGGTACCTACCTCTACTACCACTATTCACACCAATACTGTGGTACCTGTCTGTACTTGCCACAATTCATACTACTAATGTGGTAACTATCTGTATTAGCCACCATACACATTACTACTTTGGTACCTATCCGTCTATGATACTATACTCAGTGCTACTTTCGTGTCTACCTGTCTAAGATACTATACTCATTACTACTTGATACTTACCTGTCTAAGATACATTATACATTACTATTTGGTACCTACCTGTCTAAGATACTATATACATTACTACTTGATACCTACCTGTCTAAGATACTTTGCAAATTACTGCTTGGTACCTACCTGTCTAAGATACTGCACACGTTACTACTTGGTACCTACCTGTCTAAGATATTGCACACATTACTACTTGGTACCTACCTCGGTAAACCGCAAGGGGTCAACTCAGTATACGGAACTCGACTAACAAGACGCTCAACGACCGCTCACAACAATGACCGTTCACAACAACGACTGTTCACAGTAAAGATAGACCACGTAATGGAGGAAAACTTCCAACACTGATAAAGATTACCCGATCTCTCGACGGCGTTCCTCCTCCAGCCTTATCGCCAGGCACTTAATACTGTCATGTGCTTGGCCCTTACACCTAGGCTAGGACGTAGGTCCCTTGGTTAGTTTTATTTTGTTGTCTTTCTAGGGATTTATAATTAATTTTAGCCTGGGGGTAAGGATCCAAGGAAAGTCTCCAAAGGAACACAGAATCACTTAGATAGAGTAACAGAAAGAAAATAAACATTTACAAATAAATAATAAATAAGATATATAACATAGTTAAATATTTAGTGGGCTCCCATATCCTTGGTGTAACTTGATATATATATATTGCTACGTGAAGTGGAGGTACTGTGGTTACACCCAGAAGATGGTATGCTCACGTTTATAAAATAAAATAAAAGCGCTTGACCGTTGCAATGTGACTATGTAAAAGTAAGGAGTAAAGTCAGAAAAAAACCTTTTAACAATACAAGTTAATTTAATAAACAAAATGAAAGTATGTGCACTTGAAGTAATTACATTGAAAATAAACAAAAACAATTTAACACTTAGTTCAATTCATTGACTTGGACACAGAAAGAACTACAATAAAGCAATAAGAATAAAGCTGCAAGATACTATACCTGACACCATAACTCCTAATGAGCTGCCTTAGCAAGTCATTAAGAGCAAGATGTTACCATGCAAATCACCTGAGCAGACTGAGGGTCAATGCCAATGCATTGTTAACCAACAATGAATATAGCAATGGAGCTATATATCCCTTACCCACTGCTCGGAATGGAGCAACGGGAGTAAGAAGTTTGAAAGACTAACTCAAATGTTGGTCAACAATGGATATATCAACAAAGAAATAAACACTACTATAAGACGACACCTGAACCGATGGTACAATCCTGAACCAAAAACAGAAACCACAACACCTCCAATAAAATTATATTATAAATCAGCTATGCACAGTGAACATATCAAAGAGATATTTATTTCTAGTGTGGTGCTCATGAGTTCTATTACACATTTCAAGGAAAAGTTTCAGTTCAAGATTAACATTTAGGAACAAGGTTTTGTACATGTAGATTGTGTTACGTTTTCCTATTTAAGGAATACTCACATTAATATAAAATATAATAATAATTATGTTTTGTTGTTGCATGAAGGCATATATATATATATATTTATAATGTGTCGTATAGTTGGCAACAAAGTAGGACAGGAGAGGGGCTTGCTAGTCACAGGTACTAGACGTGTGAGATTCGAGTCAACTTCTTGATAGAATACAGGAAAGCTTGTGGTATGTAGTTGCCAGCAGTTTCCTCTTTATTATTTTCCATGAATAATTTTGTTTTATATAAAATACATTACCTCTGTTTATGCATGTAACCTGATCATTATTATTTAAGCTATTTTAATATTTGCCCAGTTATGTTACTCAATAAAATAAATTAATTTTATATAAATTTACCATTCGTTATGGTGTGTTATGGTGTGAGGGAGCGAGTGTGGGGCGTCCGGACACCAAGTTTAGTATTATGTATTTGTCTTAGTAGTTACAATTATCTGATGAGAAAAACATTATTATATAATACTTAATAGGCCATCTGATTACTGTTATACCTGAAGGATAAATTTAGTTTATAGATATACATTTTTTATTATATTATACAAATATTTTTATATACATGTGAGTTTCTATAGACCCTGGTGAAAGTCTTTTTTTTTATTACTATTGAATGGTACGTACTGATGAGGCACCCTGGTTGAACGTATTTAGATACAGGTGTTGGATTCATACCCTATCTTGAGGTTATCTTTGAGATGATTTCGGGGCTTTTTAGTGTCCCTGCGGCCCGGTCCTCGACCAGGCCCCCACCCCCAGGAAGAAGCCCGTGACAGCTGACTAACACCCAGGTACCTATTTTACTGCTAGGTAACAGGGTCATAGGGTGAAAGAAACTCTGCCCATTCTTTCTCGCCGGCGCCTGGGATCGAACCCAGGACCACAGGATCACAAGTCCAGCGTGCTGTCTTCTCGGCCGACCGGCTCCCGTGAGCACTAGACCACTAACTTCTTGTCCCTGTAAGTTCAACGGGCGGTGCGTACAAGTTGTAATATATTTCAAACGAGAATGTGTGTAGTGAGTATATGTTAAGCATGTTAAGGGACTTCAACAGAGGCTGCGTGTTGTCTGTAGACAGTTTGTTATAGTTCTGATGGCAGATTTTTGCTGAGTGATGATAGGCTTAAAGTATTTTGCTGTGGTTGAACCGCATGCTCAGATACCTTATATAAGATAGGGATAGATTAGTGAATAGAGGAGAGGAACGCATATAATGAGAGAAGAGCAGAGTGGGTAAGGGTAAGGGAACTATCAGGGGAAAGCGCGAAGCCATTACGACTATATAGCACTTGGAAGGGGTCAGGATAAGGATTTGGGATGCTCCTGAGCTACCGTGCAGTGAGGACGTGTCGCCTGCTCGCTCCGGTAGTTTGAGGTGGTTGCCGTTTTCGCCGGCAGGGGGTGTGGGTGTCTCTACCCTCCCTGCTGTTCCTGGTGGTGTGGACGTGGCGCTTTTACGATGGGCGGCCCTCTTCCCCCTGTCGTGAGGGTAAACTCCATTGGATTGGAGTTTACTGGCTGTGCTGGATACCCGCTGGTGGACGTGGTATTGAGTGCCATGCTTCGTGTCCCGGTTGGGGACGTATATGGCATTGAGCTGGTAACTGCTCACCGTGTTGTTGTCAAGTTTGTGGGTGAGGCGGTGTACCGTGCTTTCTTACGGAGGTACGAGGGACGTACTTTGCAGCTACAGGACGGCACCGGGTCTGTGACAATTTCAGACCGTAGTGGTGCTGTGACGTATGTCAGTGTTCATGGCGCCCCCATGGAGTTTCCTGAGACTCTCCTCCGGCGATTCTTCCAGAGGTACGACTCCGTCGTCAGTGTGCGGATGAACTCACTGTCGTCTGGCACGTATTCGGGTGTGAAGACCAACATTCGGACCCTCGGGATGCGACTGATGTCGGACATACTGTGCTCTGTCCGGCTGTTGGGGTACTACATGCGTGTGTTTTATGCCCGGCAACCCCGTACTTGCTTCCGGTGTGGCTTGTTGGGGCATCAGGCTGCCGGGTGTACTGCTGTTCCGGTCGCTCCTGTGAACTTGTTCTGTGAGGAGGATTTCCCGCCGCTCCCTCTGGAGGAGGACTCCGGGGGTGAGAAGGTGAGCGTCCCGTTCGCTGCTGCGGCTCCCCCAGTGTCACCCGACGTTCCCCCGGTTGTTGCAGACCATCCTCCGGGTGTTGCGGTGCCGTCGGATGTTCCTCCTGACCATGTCTCTGGCCCTGCTGTTCCCGTAGACCTTCTTGGTGATCCCTGTGGTGCGTCGCCGTCGGCTTCCTCGTCTTCGACTGTGGACCCTGGCCCTGCGTCCTACCCTCGGGTTCCTCCTGTGCTGGGTGCTGGGGTGGCTGCGGTGCCTCCTGCTGTGTGTGGTCCGGTTCCCCCTGTGGTAGAGGCTGCTGCCGTTCTGCGACGGGCGTCGGTTCGCCCGGTTCGTGAGGCCCGTGGTTCTGGGTCCGCCTCCGGCTGTGAGGATGTGCGGCTAGTGCCCAAGCGGTCCAGGCGTTCTTCTACTGCTTGGGCTGATGCGGAGAACTTCAACGCAGGTGGAGCTTCGGGAGATGATGTGGCGCCTCCGGGTGCTTCGCGCTCTACGTCGCTGGTGGTGGCTGACGTCCATGTGTCTGCTGTTGACGATGTTTGTACCTATGATTTACCTCCTGTTCTTTCTCCTGCAGAAGGTTCTCCGCAGTGGGGGGTGGTCGCTCCTCCTGACGTCGATGGTGAGAGTTCTGGTGCGCGCCGAGGCATCAAGCTGGTACTGAAGAAGGATGCCAAGCGTGGGGGGTCCCGGCAGGAACAACGTCCGGTGGTTGACACGGAGCGCTGTGGGGCGGCCGAGGAGGCTCCCAGTGCGCTGCCCACTGCCCGGCCTCGTGGGAAGGTGCCTCTCCCTCTCGTCTTGGCCTCCGGCGTGGTGCATAATGCTCAGCATCCTTTGCGGTTTGACATTGTTGACCGCGTGCATCCTGTTCCGTGGTGCCCTTCTTCCATCTGGGTACAGCGGGCTCGGTGTTTTGTTGTGGGTGTGCCGGAGTTGATGCCTGATCCTCGTACTGTTAATACTGTGCCTTTTCCGGATGACGTCATGTTACTGTTGGAGGCGTATTGTGTTCGGTTCCCGGCGGCGGAGTGGCCGGATAAGTATGAACAATTTGAGTAGTCTGTGTGCTGGCTGTGACCTGTGGTTTGTTTGCAATGTATTGTACCTATTGTGCGCCCTTCAGGCCGGTGTTGTGTTTTTCATGACTGTTGTTTTGTTGTATTTATTGTATTTCCGTTACCCTTCTGTCCAGTATTGTTGTTTCTTTTTCCTGTGTTTCATTGTGTTAATGTTCATTGTTGTGATTTTGTTGTCGGCCCTTCAGGCCGGTATTTAGTGTATTTGTGTTACTTTGTGTTAATTTGCTTTGTGCTTTTGTATTTTTTTGTTGTCTGATTGTTTGTTATTGGTTTCTTATTTTATTATATTTATTGTATTGTATTTATTCGCATGTTCGCATGTAAAAATAAAAAATAAAAAAAAAAACTTGCATATATCTGATTTTAGAAAGTATAACAACCGTTTTTGAGAAAGTATACCGACCGATGTGTTGTATGTGGGTGTTGAAGTTCAGAGTCTCGGCTATGTATAGGCCAAGAAACTTCCTCTCATTTCCCCCTCCCCTTCCGGCCCGTTGGCGTCGTGAGGGGGCTTGGTGGACGGCTGCCGGAGTGTGATGCTCCGTTGGGCAGTCCTCTGTCCTTTTCTGGCCTTGCACTCCTGCTGCTGTCTTCTCCAATTGTGCCGGATCGCTTTTCCTTTTCCTTATGTTTCGTTTTTCTCCCCCCTCTTCTCCTATCTGCTTGTCGTTTCCTGCCGACCTTTTGCTTGTTT